GATTTCATACCACAAAAGGCGTAAGGCCCAACTAATCCGGAGCCCAAAATTCCGAAGACCAACAGATAGATGTACATGCAATGCACCTGGCTCGTATGCCCGATGGACGTTGTTGATCTAGAATCGGGGTGCTAGCCCAGTACGTACGACGTACTTGTAAGTACGCCTAACTTACTGGTCGGATAACCCAACTCACTCCAAATGTCTTAACCGATTAAGTATGTAACGACCAAACTCATATCTAAGCTCAAGAAATTGTATTAAACCATAAGTTTTCAAACTGTATGGTTTTGCTTGTCTTAATGGGACTCAAACAATGGATTTAGCCTTTTATCTGCCTAAAGTGATCACCAACTCATGCATGGTTGAGTTCTAACCATCAACATCTATTTTTTATGACTTCATCCACTCTTAAGATCCCAAAAGGACAACTTAAATGGTCTGGAGTATTCTATACTCCATGAGACCAAAAGCTTTAAATTTACCCAACAAAAGAGATCTAAGCAAGGAAAATCAAGGTACGAACTTTTTACCTCCAAAAACATGCAACGAAAAATATATCCCTGGATCTTGAAGCTCCAACTCCAACAACGCTCCACCACCAAGCTCCTACTTCTTCAAGATCACAATGAAAATACCCAAAAACTCTCAATAAGCTCAAGAAGACTCTCAAGATGTATATGGTTTCAAGATTAGCTCAAAAAGGCAATGGAGGCTGATAAGGTGAAGGAATTAGGGTGCTTAATGAGCTTAAATAGGGTGCAAACCCTAAAAATTAGGGTTTTCCCCTAGCTTGCGTACGCCTTGCGTACATATGGATAAGCCCACATATGTATGGGACATCTCCACTTCGTGTATTCATAGGAGTACGTCGTGTGTTCCTTGTGTATGCCAATCTGGATAACCATTCAACTTTAAATACGCTTCTTTAGTATGTCCATTCACTTTGCAATGATTGCAATATCTATCACCATTCTTTCCTTTGTAATCAGATTTAGGTTTATATGAAAAATATATCTTCTCATTAGTAGTTTTAGCAAGCATAGTAGAAACTTCATTTGGATTAGAAAAGTTAACTTGTACTTCCTTTTGTTTTTCGGCACTTAATGTCATTGAGTATTCCTTATAAACAGAAGATAAAAGATCTAGTACAAGACTCTAACTCCTTATGTTTTCATAGTTATCGTTAAGTCCCATAAGAAATTGCATCAATTGAGTTGAATAAGTAATATTTTAAATCGCTTTTGCAGATCCACATGTAGATGAAGTTATAACGATTAAACAATTCAATTGATCCCACAACTACCTTAATTTTGTGTAATACTTTGAGAGAGAAGAGTCACCTTGATTTATTGAACCAATTTGTCTTTGTAATTGATAGATCATAGGACCATTACTTCACCAAAGTGTTCTAGAAGATCCAACCACAATTCTTGAGTAGTCGTAAAAAAACAAAAGAACTGACATTTTCTTTAGAAATTAGATTAAGTATCCAAGAACGAACCATGCAATCATTAGTGATCCAACCAACAAGCTCATTTACTTCGATTTCAGGTTTCTTCGTAGTTCCATCCATAAAACCAATTTCTTTATTATCTACTAAAGCAATTTGGATCGAAAACTTCCATTGCATGAAGTTTTCATTTCCAATAAGATGAGTTGAAACAAGAAACATACTCGAATCATTGTTCTTAAAAATTAATGATTAAATTAACGGAAGAAGAATTAGAATTAGAGAAATTAGGGTCAACAACACTATCTGAATTCATAATTTTGGAAGAGAAAATCAGATCAAATTGAATAGAATCATGAAACCTCTTGTACCATTTCAACAATGGTGACAAAACTATTTTAGAGAGAGAATTTAATTTGGTAAGAATGAATTTGGTGAGAATGAATTCAGTATTCTCATTAAACCACAATATATAGTACATAAAAGTGATATAGACAAGATATCTAACATAATTAACAATCCTAACATATTTACAAATAAATACCTTATACTATTATATATTGCAAAATGAGTCCCTTAAATCCTTGATTACATAATTTTACAGATGTTACATTGGCTTTCAATTGATTTAGAATTTAGTCACCATTGAACTCTTCACATGGTTAAAGGATAGTTATATAATTCTTAAATAAATGTTTAGAATATATTTCATTGAAATTAGTAAAGTTCAAATCATTGTGAGAAAAAATTAAAAAGAATTGTATAGAATAAAAAATGATAATGTATCGATCCATTAAAATGTATATAAATTTTAGTGAATTGCAGATGTCCTACAAATACATCTGATGACAATTATGAAACTATCATAAAACCACCTCTAATGATAATTACAAAAAGATTTTGTGGGCATGTCAGACCTAGATCAACTGTGTGGCAGATCTAATAATTAATTTTTGGTTGTGTTGTATTCTCTAGTTGTGGCCTGTGTGGCAGATCTAATAATTAATTTTTGGTTGTGTTGTATTCTCTAGTTGTGGCCATTGGGAATATCGGGGTATACAATGGTGTTATTATTATTTTTATTTTTAATTGTTGCCAATATTTCACTCCAAAATTATTTTTCTAATAGTAAAATTTTCAATGTCCAGTGCTTACAATCACATTTCAAAATCATTTTTTTTATAGTATACATAATGTAATTAAAATTATAAATTAATATGATTAATTATCATTTTATATGTTCCTAACAATTGCATATTATTAAACCTGTGCCCAAATAGCATAACGTAATTTAATAGAAATTTTTAGAAAAAAGTATTTAGTTATACATGCATGATTAGTATTTTTTTTTTACATGACTATTGGCAATAACTCTTGGCAATATTTCAAGTCTTTAACTGACAAATACGAAAAGAAATTGCTTTGGCAATTAAATACACATACAAAGTACATCTACCACTTAAATAATCATTTAAAAGGGTAATAGATTTTCTATTTTATTCATATTTAGTAACTAAATTTTTTTTCTTATCTATTTGTCAATGAATTATTGAAATTGTTTAGATTTTACCCTTAACCGATCATAAGGATAAAATATGAACAATTTCAATAGTTCAGTAGCAATAGATAATGAAAAAAAAGTTAGTGACAAAATATGAATAAAATTGAAAGTTCGTTTCCCTCTAAAAAAAATTTAATTACTAAATATGAACAATCTTCATTTTGTATTTTGTTTTATCAAATTATTTATTTCTATTAAATTCTAGCAACATTTATTGATGAAAAAATCTATGAAATAAAAAAACAAAACCCTGAAAAATATATTAAAAAAAAAAAATCGAAACTGAAACAAAAAAACAATGGTTTGGTATTTTCAAAATAAAAAATCAAAATTTACAATCTGATTTTAGTTTAACAAAAAAATGAAATCCATAGCTATTAAGAAATTATATTTCATGATCAGAAATTACGTTGTATTCTGAAGAAAAAAAAAACCTTATTTTTTAAATAGTTATTTAAATATGAATTGTTTTTCTAAAACCTTTTCAAATTATGAGTGGATTTTTTAAAAGAAAAAAAATAGTATCGTTTTAATTGTTGAATATACAAGTATTTTTTTTCTTCAAAACACGTTAACGGTTTTACTTACCTGTATATATCTAGTTAAATAATCATAAATTTCAATAATTATTCAAACTTTTTAAGAAAATATAATCTCAAATATAAATCAATTGTCTGGATAAATTAAAAATATGTAAATTCTAAATAATTTGACTTTTATTTTTGATATCATTTTTTTGGTAAATATATTAATATGATATATGTATGTCAATACATAGAATATATAACAACATATATAATGTATCAATGTATGTACGTATTCTTTTATAAACACCATATATGGTTTATATAATTTTATAATACGAAATTCATACATATAATATTAGGATAATTTTTATGCATATAATATTGCATAATTTTGTAACATAAAACTTATAGATATAATATTGGTTTCCTTTTTCGTTTTTTTATATTATTTTTTGTTGTTTTGTTTTTTTATTTCAAGATTTCTTTTTCAACAAATATTGTTATACTTTAATAAAAATATATAATTTGCTAAACCATAATATAAAAGGAAAGTTTGTTTATATTTAATCATTGATCTTTTTTGGGAGAGAAACAAACTTTTAATTTTATTCACATCTAGTCATTAATTTTTTTTTCGTTATCTATTTGTTACTGAATTATTAAAACTATTCACATATTTACCCTTATGACTGATAACAACCGGTCATAAAACTAAAATGTATAAAGTTTTAATATCTCAATGAAAAATAGATATTGAAAAAAGTATAATAATTAAATGTGAAACAAAATAAAAAATCCATTTTCTTTTTTTTAGAGACATTAGCCCACCCACTTAAGTGTACAACAAAGTCCCAAAAGAATATAACGGGCAAAACAGTGGGAAATGTGAATTCTTTTCAAAGTTAAACTTACCTTATTTTACCATACCTTGAGAAATAAGGAAAGAAAGCAGACAAAGAGTTAAAAGAATGAGTTTAACTCTTCAGCAAAAGACTGAGGCAATCACCTATAAGCAAAACAAGCTGCGAATGTGTAGAGTCCGCGAAGCGCGAAGTTGGTGGAGGAGGCAAACCGAAGAGAGGAGAAAGATTTACAGCAGAAGTCGGTTCTTAAAAGGGCAAAACTTCTGGGTATTTTATTTTTGATTTCATAGTTCTTTTAGATTTCTTTACACTATTAATTAATTTTGATTGTAATCTTGTCATATTCTATTTAACGTAGCAAATACCAAGTGGCTTTTCCTTCTTTTTTTATTTTTCCGATTTTAGTTTAGATTTGTTTATTAAACACAGGAAAAAAAATATTTTTAATCGTAGAAAGAACATTTTAAAACTCCTTTGTGTTGGGTATGCAACGTACTTTTCGTTGAAGGGTTTGCAATATCAATACCTGTACATAATAGAAGATTTTGTTTTATTAAATATCAACACTTATAGGACAACATCAAGGTTATGCAGTTGCATACTCCTGCACAGAGATCCTGTCCGAGCAATAAATTTATGGAGATAGTGAAGGCCAATAACATGCACACATGCATGCTTTAATGCTCAACATCTATAGCTAACGTATTCTTCACCATATAACGATATCACAAACCTTACTCTTCTTTATCTACGCAGATCTTTCACACTGCTACATGTAATTAAAAACACAAACAACATAATAATTCATAGTCACTTCGGAAACTGTATTTCGCATTTACTTTTAAATCGCATGGATTTCATCGTTTCAACTTCCATTGTCAGGTTGACTGGAGTTAATTTCGTAATCCTCGTTTCAGTTATAGTTCCTTTCGGAACTGATAACCGAGTTCACTTCATCATTTTCAGCCTGCGATTCGTTATCATCAGTTCTCATATTGGACGACATAGAGATATGATGACCTAACCGATGATTATTTGGATCGATACCCATATTTACAAGTTTTATGCTTAAGCGTGAGTTCCAGTAATTCTTGATTTCATCTTCTGTTCTTCCTGGTAGTCTCCCAGCTATAAGTGACCACCTAAAATAACATATGCACTTCTCGATCAGTGTTTCTTTTTTTGGATTATATTATAAAATAACCTAAATTGTTAAAGAGTAAGAATATCATGTTGAATGGGAGATCGATGCACCTGTTACCCAGTAGGGCGTGAAGCCTGATGATGAGATCATCTTCATCTTCACCAAACTCTCTTCTCTGAAGATCAGGCTTTAAGTATATCGACCATCTTTGCATACAGCTTGTGCTGGAACGAAGTAGACCTAATCAAATGGAAAACCATAGAAATTAATTAATGGTCATATAAAACAACTATTAATAAAATATGTAACAGAAAAACTAGATCATATACACACAAAAAAATATTAACAAGAAAGTAGCTACGTTTTATATTATTGATAGAAAAACCTGTAGCCTGAGGGAGGGTGTGCCAACAACCTTCACCATGGGAGGTGACATAGTCTATAAGCTTCTGATCTTCTTCCTTAGACCATGAACCCGTTTCCATTTCATGCTTATTATTACAAGGTTTCCTCATTTTATGTTATTCTTTTAACTACTTGTGTTTGTTATAAGGATCATATGAGTATAAAATCAGGAAGCCTTTCGTTGTGCAATGGTGGTGGTGTTTTGATTAATGTGTTTGAAGGTGGAGGATGTGGAGTGGTAGATATGAACAAATGGAGGCATGTAAACATGTTCGTATATATTGGTGTATATATATGGGGAAAAGAAGGTTGACTTGGACTGGTGGTTTGCTCGTGCTTCGGTTTACCAGCTGCTTGGCAAAAAGATGTTTGATTTATTTGTAATTTTATTTGATCCGCCATTTTAAGAGGTTTGTGCAAAAATGGGGGTTTTGTCCAATTAATTTACAGAATAAGGTACCATTTGGGATATATTTTGTTTATTCGTTAAGTTTAAATAATATACCTAAGTAACAAATGAACACGAATACATAGACATGTATAAAGACGTAAAAGAAAATATTTTCCGGGTGCGTTTTTTTGCTTAAAATTTTACTTTTGTTCCTATTTGTTTGTTTTTGATCATTAAAATGTTAAACGTAGACAACTAAACGTCCAATAATCCAAAAAAACTTAGAAATAAAGCCTAAATGGCATCTTCATTTAAATATTATCACAAAAAAATCAAACTTTAAATGTTCCACACTTAGCTTGTTGCATATACATTCATTATATTATCGAAATTATATTATATAACAATTATATAATATAAACCGATTGCGTGATTTTAAGCTACAAATCATAATGTTTCATCAAATGTCATGGAAGATCCACACATATAATATCATAAACGAATATAAAGAAATATTAATAAGCAGACATAAACAAACAAACAAATTCATGAATGTAAATAAACAAACAAAATCATTTTCCCCTTTTTTTAACGCCTTAATTTCTATTAAAAAGCTCTCCTAGCTAGTAAGGGGCTAGGGGTCAGCAGAAAAAGAACACATACAATTAATCCCAGGAATTATGGCTAAGGCGTCACAATATTTGTTTTTTTTAGATTTATTCGTTTAACTAAATAACCTTAAATTATTTTTCATATTTGTTAAATGAACCTACCACCGAATGATGCACGAACCATCCGGCGAATTTTTGGTTTGTTTACCACCTTAGGTACCTCCCGGTTGTTAAGTAGAAATGGGTGATGATCTCACCAACAAATAATTAAAGCGTTTGATATTTTTAGATTATAGCTCTTAAGATTCAATTTATGCATTTAAAAGCATAAGATAATATTATCCTTCCAAATCAAATTTTACGATAATTTACATAAGATCATCTTTATTTATAAATATAGACCTACACTGCAAAAATACCAACTAATGCCGACAACACCTATCCCGACGACAAATATCGCTGCCACAAATAGGGCGATGCCTACGACACACCGTCGGCACAGCTTCAACGAGAACAAAGAATATTTCCACGGTTTTCTGAAACCTATGTCAACAACATGTTGTCGTTATAATTTTCGACAAATGTATTTTCCATTTATTTTATTCTATCGTGCAGAAAAAAGAAATGAAGTAGTTTTCGGAAAGTTATCCCGACGACTTGTAGTTTGTATGCCAGGTGGCAATCCACGTGAATTTCTATCTCGAAGACTTGTCGTCGACACAACTTTTTATTTTTATTTTTTTTCATTTTAGCAAATAAACAAAACGACATCATTTCGTTCAACCTTATACCGAAGAAAAATCGTCGAAATAAGATTTCACCCTCAGATTAGGGATCATACACGCACCACCTCAGTTGCAGCGGCGCACCCCCAACTTTTCTCTCTTGATCAGGTTTGGTGACTACGTTGATTTCGGCCATTCCCTTCACGGATGATTTGGGTAACACCTCCTTCTTGTTTCCTATTCAATTTCATATTTCCTTTTTTGTTTCTTCTAATTTTAGTTATTTTGGTGACGATGATTTCCATCACCGGTGACCACCCCATCCCCTCCGTTATTGTAGGTAAAAAAGTTTCACTAATTTGGGTGTTTTATAGGTTGAACAAGGACAAAGGCTGCAACACATTGTAGTTTGGAGATAGATGCACTTTAAGGAAGGATGGGTTTGTGTCCATTTAATACGTTGTTAAATATGTTATTATTATTATTATTATTATTATTATTATTATTATTATTATTATAATAGTTTTTTGTAAGGTATATTTTTATTATAGTTTTTGTATGGTATATTATTATTATATTAGTGTTTAAATTTAGTTATTTGTTTTAATTAATGATTGTGCCATCTTTTCTTTATTTTTAGGAAAAAATCAAGCGGGGTATAGGAAGACATAAGAAGACGTTTGGAAGGGTGGACATATAAATGAGTTTCATTGTCTTACGCATGCCCTCACTGAGAGAAATAGACATATTCGTAGAGTTGGAAGAAAACCAATAACCACACTACAAGAAATGTGAGTATTAGCGGCGATATTTGTCGCCGCGGAAGAGTACCCTCGTTGCCGCAAATCGCCGCTAAAGGTATTTGCGGCAACATGATGCCGCTATTGTTGCGCCGTTGTTGCTCCGCTTGTCACCGTAAATACAACGACTAGGGTATTTCATAGTATATACATCAGGGTGATAGGAAATTAACCTCTGACATGTAGTGAGATGTGTGACTTCCGCCTCATTCTCTGTTCCTTGTTTGGTTGTGGGTTTAGGACAGAATCACCCAATCGACTATCCGTTCAATCTCAATTTCTATAACTTGTATTTACTAAGTGATCACAAGAGGGTATTAACCACAATTTCAATATATAGAACAATAAGTTTTCAACTAGTTTTGTTTGTGTAATAAAACTACTATACATTACTGGTGATAGCCAGGGTTTTCAAATAGAACAATGCTTAACCAACATAATTAAGTATGGTAGATACTTGTACTCTTCGATTTGGAACACATATATCAATGACTTCCATTTAGGGAAATATAGGATTTCCAAGATAAACATCAGTACTTTACAAACAATGGGATTATTATTCAATTAACGAATTCACTATTAATTCTATAAATCTTTAGTCTATACAGCCGAGTTACGTATAAAGAATATCCGATAGGCTGTGGAATGTGTGGTTTACACCTCATTTCCTGTTCCTTGTTTGGTTGTGGGTTTAGGACAGATCCATATAATTAACTGTCTGTTCGGTATTAGTTTATACATAACTGGTATGAACTAAGAAGTTGTAACGCCCGTAGATCCGGGCTAGTCAATTTAGAGACGATAAGCATCAAAAAATGACTTTTTCATGGAATATTATTTAGAAGGATTAATCTTAACCAAGTTGTAGTATATGTCACAAGGTTTCCATGCATATAAAGAACGCCAAAATCCGAGTTATAACGAAGAAGTTATGACCTCTCGAAGTTTCGCGACAGAACCGGCACGACCCAGCGCGACCCAGCACGATGTAAATAGTGAACTTAAGGTAGATAGATATCTATCCTTAGTGATCTAAACAAGAGTTAAAGATTTATTCGATAGTAGTCTAACGATAAAAATACAGACGAAAACAGAGTTCAGATGAAGGAGTTATGAATTTCGAACGGAGTTTTCCTGTCCCGGCCTACTATAGATAATATATAAGTAATATACTTATAATATATTAAAATTAAAGTCAAAATTAGCCAATGGAGTCTAAACGAGAGTTGTAGAGCATAATCTCACCTTCGCGGCGATATAAAGAACGTCGAAAACGGAGTTCGTATGCGAAAGTTATGAATTTCTGAAGTTCGGGGCGCGAAACCCCAAAACTGTCAGAGACCACGACGTGGCAAGCAGTGCCACGACGTGGCAAGTGTCCTAACACCTCCGGGAGGCCCCCAGATGCAACTTGGGATGACGCATGCAGTGACGACCAAGCCCACGACGTGGCAAGGGCCAAATTTGCCCTATAAATAGATTTGAAGGGCCAGCCGTTTAGGGTTGCTATTTTCTCTCTTCTCTCTCCCGTTTTACCTCGATTTGCGTGCTAGAAGTACCCCGAAGCCCCGGTAATATCCCCAAGTCCCGAAGCAAGTCCTGAGATCTCGAAGATCCCGAGATGTGCGGTTTCTGAGCCGAAGCTCTGCCCGCGAGAAGTTCAATTTTTGCGGAGATCTTCCAGATCTACCGAAGAATACTACTTCTGCAAGTCGTAGTGCTGTCCGATCATCTTCTGATCAAGTGAGTGTATACTACCTTTCATAAACACGATAATAATACAAGTATGGTTTGAGTGTATTAAGTTTATTGTTGTTTATATGTGTGAGTGTGTAGTTACTTTCTTCTAACATATAAATATGATGTATTTGCTATGAAATACGTGCTATGTGTTTATATGTTATTTGTCTATTTGAGATGAGCATGGAAATTGGAGTTTTATACAGGTGTTAAATGATTTAAACTGTGCAAGTATTTATATCTACAAAATTGTTGGGTAGAACATAGGTAGATGGAATACTTGGTGACTATGGAGTTAGCACCTATTGTATAAACCTTGGCGACTATGGAGTTAGCGCACGTTGAGTAAACCTTGGCGACTATGGAGTTACCGCACGTTGAGTAAACCTTGGCGACTATGGAGTTAGCGCTTGTTGAGTAAACCTTGGCGACTATGGAGTTAGCGCCAGATAACTATGGATTTAGTACTTGATAAATAAGCTTTGGCAGCAATGGAATTCATGCCTAATTCCTTACGAATAAATGAATGAAGGATAGTTGGTTCTTAGGGTAAAACCTTAAGGAGATAATGGGGATGGGTAATTGGGTTGATTGTTTGCTGATTACATATAATAATTATATTATTGTGGGTTGAAAACCCTATATGCTCACCAGGCTCCCAAGCCTGACCCACTCGGTTTTCTTTTCATTACAAGTAATGGCACAAGGGTAAAAGTTGGTGGACTTGACGAGAGATTTTGGATTATAGATCAGTAGTTGAATAATTATTGTAAGGTCTATTTTATATTGTTTATGTTTTTGGTCTGTATCGAACATGACATCCCAAGGTTTTATTATTTAATGAAAATACATTCTTTTCGAGAAATGTTTTGATAAATGGTTATCATATTTTATTCCGGGAACAAATTCCGTAACTCTTTTAATCAAAAGATTACTCTGATTTTATAAAGCAAAGCATAAACAAATCGGTCTTTTCTGGCCGTGAAA